CTATGGAATTCCTTGCCCAGTAAAGTAGTTGACACTACTTCAGTAAACGTTTTTAAAGATAAAGGTAGATTTTTTTTGAACAATAAAGGAATTAAGGGATACGGTGAGAACACGGGTAAGTGGATCTGAGTCCACGAAAAGATCAGCCATGATCTTATTGAATGGTGGAGCAGGCTCGAAGGGCCAGACGGCCTACTCCTGCTCCCAGTTCTTATGTTCTTTCCTCTAGCGTGTGATTGCTTTGAAGGGGGTTTTGGGGATTAATGGAATTATATTTTTAAATGTGCAATATATGTAAGTAGTTCGGTTTATTAATAGTTATCTTCATTTCTTCCAAGTAATAAACATTTGCCTTACAGCTAAAACCAAATCTGCTTTATTGCATCTTTATCTTTCTGTGAAAGAACACCTCATTAAAACCAAAAAAAAATATGATTTATCAAGATTGGCTGCATTTATATCCTTCAGCAATTTTCTGGTCTTCTGCAGTATAACAAAGGATGATTTGGTCGAAATTTATAAGATATTAGGACAAATTATAGAGATGTGATAGAGACAAATTATTTCTGCTGCTTGGGCAATCCAAACCCAACGGCATAGTTTGGATATTGAAACAAGCCCTTCCTTGAATGAAATTAAGAAACTCACACAACTGTGAGATTAGATAAATTCTGACATAAGAAAACAAAAATTGGAAGATTGTTGTTAACCAAAATATATTGAGGAATACAGTGCAAACTACATAAGTGAAATTAGGTCATAAATCAACCATGTAACAGACTTAAGGGCTTACTCTCTATTCCTGATGTTCCAACCCTGATCACAATTTGATCATTCTGCTGGCAGAAAAAAGCATCAGAAAAGAAGAATATTTCTTAAGTGACAAGAACTTGGGGAGTTTAAGTTCCAAAGGGTCTTGTTCATAGGTCAATACAAGTCAGCATGCAAGTGCAGCAAGCAATTAATGATATGCTAGTCTTGTTTGCAAGGGAATTTAAGTACATGAATAAAAATATCGTTATACAGTTCTATTGAATCTTGGTGAGGCCTCACATGGAGTATTATATACAGTTTTGATCCCTTTATCTAAGACAGGACAGTCTTGCCATAGAGGGAGTGAAATGGAGGCTCACCAAGTTAATCCCTGGATGGCAGGATTGTCCTAAGAAGAGAGATTGTGGATACTGGTTTTCCTGGAGTTTTGAAGAATTAGAGGTGACCTCAATGAAACTTACAAAATTCTTACAGGGCATAACCCACCCCGAGTGGAAATGTTTCCCTTCGATGGTGAGTCTAAAACTAGGGGACATAAATGCAGGGCTAGAGTTGGACCATTTAAGACTCAGATGAGACGACTCAGATTTCTTAACTAAGAGGGTGGTGAATCTTTGGATCTCTCTACCCTGATAGAACTATGTTAGGACAATCATTGAGAATGTACAGGACAGAGATTAATAGTTGCTGGAAACTATTACATGAAAGGATATGGAATATTGTATAATACAGCAGCGTTTAAATAGATGACCATAAGAAATCTAATTTAGTACAGCAGCAAGGTTAATGGACTGAATGATCTATTCCTATAACAATGTTCCTAAGATCATATGTGAAGATGAGTGGAGGGGAAAAAAAACAAATCAAGGCTTTGCTGTTGTGTAAACAGTTTACTCAATGTTGCATGCATTGCTATATCATATTTCTTTACATTTACCTAGTTCACACGGTGGTTACTCACTGAGACGAATTCACACAAGACTGCAGATTTTCTTTAACAACAAAACAGAAGGTTATTACACAAAATATATTTAAATATAGAAGACAGGTCAAACAATCTCAATATCAAAGAAAAACAAAGTTTCAACCTATTTCTCAATATTATCCAATACACAACTCATGGCCAGAGAAATTACACTCCTATCCCAACTCATTAAATTTCTATTTAACCGACTCCTTATAGCTTCTTTGCCATAGATAGTAGAGACAATTTGATGAGCCCTTTTGAAGTATGCCAACATGAACTGCTCACACATCTAAGATCCTGAGCTTTCTCAATTCTAATAACATGCAGATTTCTAACCAAACTCTCGGTTTGGAAGATTAACAAACTAAGCTATTCAGCTGGGGTGAGAAGAAAGACTAAACTTGCTTCTGAATTGAAACCTTAAAGATTTACCTAATTTGTCATAAGCCCAACAACATAAAACATATTATCATTAACACCATGGGGATCTACACTCCCTTGTTATGTGACAAATTCCTGGATTTGGTCGTTCTCTGATCTTTCCTTAAAGGAAATCACTTCACAAAAACAGCCAACACCTATCTGCCTCTATTTTAACATCTAAATTTGAAATATAGTATTAAAATATATGAATTATAAATGTTACATCACACCTTCCCCAAAAGAAGAATGAAAATTTCTCAAAGGGATGCATTTACACTTCCCATCAACAAGTTCTTTATAACTGAAATTCTATGTTCAATTAACAGTAGTAATCTACTTCCATTCAACGTACAAATTTCATATCAACCCTATTTTACACAAGTCAATTTGATTCACGGCATTTGGTTTTCTTCACATATATTCTTATGAAAGCATCTGCTACATAATTGTTCTTATCAGCCAAATTAATGATCAATAATGACTGAAGCATTAAACTCCAACAAAACAACCGCAAGTTCTCATTAAAAAGTCAAAGAATTCTGGTCCGTATCAATTATTTTCTTCTGGGTTGCTGGATATATAATGTGCAAAATGATGTAGAGCACAAGAGATTTGGTGTCTCTTTCACCAGCATCAAATACTTCTGTTGACAGACATCCAGTTTCTTCATAAAGAAAATTGACAAATGTCAATTCCCAATTTGTTTCCTTGCAGCAAAATAGCACCCATGCTGATGTCTCTGGCATCAAATGCCAGTTTGAATGGCTCATTAACTCAGTGCTAATAAAACTGGTGTTATCAGCATAGCTTTCAAGTTTCATTATGTTGCCTGTTCAAGATTCTTGCCTTATTCAATAAATTTTACCAAGGATCTACTACAGTGGAACAAGCTTCCAATAAAATCCACTCATAGCAATACATCCCAGAATGTCACGTATTATCTTAGCATGGGAAAATCCAAAACAAATAACTTCTGGCTTTCTAAATGCTACTTGGCCTAGAAAAATCATTTTTGAATTGACAAATTCAGTTTTAGACAGATTTCTAACCAAATTAGGTCTTAACTGATTAAACATTTGAACGAACATAGAAACATCGAAAACAGATGCAGGAATAGGCCATTTGGCATTTCAAGCCTGCGCCATCATTCAATAAGATCATGGCTGATCATGCAATCTCAGCATCCAATTCCCACCTCTTCCCATACCCTTTAGCTGCAAGGGCCATGTCCAGCTCCCTCTTGAATATATCTAATGAACTGGCCTCAGCAGCTTTCTGTAGCAGAAAATTCCACAGGTTCTCAATTCTCTGAGTGAAGAAATTCTTCCTCATCTCAGTTCTGAATGGCTTTCCCCTTATTCTTGGACTCTGACCATCAACTCTGTACATCCCCGTCATCGGGAACATTCTTCCCCCATCTAGCCTGTCCAGTCCCATCAGGATTTCATATGTTTCTATGAGAACCCCCTCTCATTCTTCTAAATTCCAGCGAATACAAGCCCAGTCAATCCAGTTTTTCCTCAAATGTCAGTCCTGCCATCCCAGGAATCAGACTGGTGAACCTTCGCTGGACTCCCTCAATAGCAACAATGTCCTTCCTCAGACTAGGAGCTAAAACTGCACACAACACTCAAGGTGTGGCCTCACCAATGCCTGCATAACTCTAGCAAGATATCCTTACTTTGATACTCAAATCCTCACTATGAAGGCCAGCATGCCATTAGCTTTCCTCACTGCCTGCTGCACCTGCATGCCAACCTTCAGCGACTGTTCCACCATGACACCCAGGTCTTGTTTCCTAAACTACCACCATTCAGTAATCTGCCTTCCTGTTTTTGCAACTAAAGTGGATAATCTCCCATTTATCCACATTGTATTGTATTTGCCCACTCAGCCACTGTCCAAGTAACCCTGCAGCCTCTTAGAATCCTCCTCACAGCACACACTGCCACCCAGCATGGTAGTTAACATGATGGTTATTCACATGAGGCTGCAGATTTTCTTTAAGAACACAGCAGAGTATTGTTTTAATAGTAGAAGAAATAGAAAAGCAAACCAAAATAAACAAACTTATAGACAGTTAGAAAGGTCTCAAAACACAAAGTTTCAACCTGTCTGCTGAAAAGCTTCCACTATAAAGACCCACGTCCAGAGAAATACCCCCTTATCATAACTCCTTCAGGCTTTACTTAGCTGATCCTTTTTTTTTTGCTGTGAACTGTAGAGACAATTGTCAAGTCCTTTCCAAGCCTTCCACCATGAACTTCTCAAAAATTTGAGGGCGAAACCGTCTGTTTTGAAAATCCTGCAAATTTCTAACCAAATTGTCCTGAGGTGACTGGTTCCCTGAACTGCTTGGAGTTCCTTCTGGAACAGAAACTAACTTTGCTTCTGAACTCAATCCTCGTTTATTTTTAAACTAATTTTTCCAAAACTTTCCTCAAACCTAGATTTTCATTTGGGAGAATCTAATGACATTAAAATGTTTATCCTGCCTGTCATAAGCCCAACAGTATAACTCCACAGGGGTTCTGCAGTCATCTTTCTTTCTGAGAAATGCTGGAGTTAAATAACTTTTCTAGAGGATTCTCTAACCTTATTTCTAAAGTGAAAACCTCACAGAAATAACCAATACTTAGCTGCCTCTATTTTGAGATCCAAATCACAAAAATGACATTGATAAATTTAAATGATACACCTTTCATCACAGTATAAATGACCATGTGGATGAAATACTGGACACCTGCACACACTTATTAAACCATGTGAACACACTGAATATTTCCTTCAGGAAAGAACAAGGCAGAAGGATATTAACATTACTCTGAAGGCTTACTTTCACAAGTGCTCCTTAATGTTGTCCAGGTTGAATCTGCGTTACAAGTAGAAAATCTTCTACTTCCTGAGGTGAATGTATAACCTGGATAACATCTGTAAGTAACCTTGGTACCCAAAGGAAATGAGCTCAAACCAAGAAATGCATCAGTTGGTGAACCGTTATTCAAACGTGGAGGTGTGCCACAGTCACCTTAAAAAAACAGAGAGACAAGTTCATAATTCTAACACAAGTTATGATATCTTCAAGTCACAGTCAAAGACAAAACAGGGCATTAAGTTCAATAACTGGAAGATATCTCCCTTAGTCTTAACATTCTTTTGTTGATCTACAACCTTGTTTTTTTTTAAAATCCTTTGTTACTGACCAATTAGAAAGAGTTGGAAGTTTCTGAGCTGCTGGAGGGCAGGTGAAAGTCTTGCTGGTGCATCTTCTAAGTGTTCCTCCTCTCCTTTCCTAGGACCATACTTCACTAAATGCTGGAAACTGCATTCTAGTGCTTACTCAGACATAGTTAACTGCAGACAAATAGCTTCACCAAGTTGTTGCTGCCTCAGGGTTTTTCTGAGACTCAATATTTCTCAATTGCACCAAGCAAATATCACTCCCACTCTCAGCTTAATAGTTCATATAGCTTTCTGTGAACTCTAACACTTAATACTTGGCTGTACCAGCTTGCTCCCAGTCCTAAATGCATGGAGCTATTGAATGACTCCTGAGACTTCTTCCTGAGGCCAAAGTACACACAGCCAATGATCTTCAGCTGCCTTCTTAGCAGCACAGCTAAGAGTAAACACTTTTCATGCATGTCTATTCCTCTGTTCTGGACTCTCTCGCCAACTAACTGACTAAAACTGGCTTTTCAGTAACCTTGAAATGTTCTGAGTGACCTACTGAAATCCTCACCACAGCCCCATTCTTACTAGGTGAATTCAAACATAACTAATATTGAAATACCAGTTTCCCTGAAAGTTACAATTTTCACAGATTGCTGGCTTCTCAATACAAACGGATACAAAGAAATAGATTTTATCATAAATTGCACTGGCAATCCATTCATTATTGCTGCTGCACAAAGATCAATCTGATATTTTTGTATTTGCATTTAACTTCAGCAATTGTTGCTACTATTCCTGTCAACCAGAAAGTGATTCTAGAATGTGAGGTTAGATATAGTCAGTCAAGATGACTGAGCAATACAGAACAATTTTAGTACACTAAATTATCAACAGACTTGAATAACAATTAGCATAAGGGGCATACTTACCACATTTTGTGCTTTTTGGGCCAATGTTCTTGCAAACCACATAACTAGGGACAAAGAGAGGGTTTTGGGCTAAATAATGGGAACAAGGAATCAAATGTAGAAAGATGTGATATATCAAAGAGTAGAGACAAGGTAAGAGAGGAAAATAGTAACATGGGAAAAGAGGATCAGAGGATGGCAGCAAGGGACAAAGTGAAACAAAAACCTAGGAATACACCAACCCAGAAAGACCAAAATGTTACAAAGATAACAAAAGACTAAAGGCTCCGTTTCTGAACGCATGTAACATTCTTGACAAGATATACAAATCGATAGCACACACTGAAGTAAAACGAAAATGATCTAATAGCCATTATGGAGATATGGCTGCAGGATTACAAGGACTGCATACTCAATATTGAGAGCTATATAACATTCAAGAAGAATAGAAAGCTAGGAAAAGGTGCAAGGGCAGTGCTTTTAATCAAAATTTGTATAATAAGAGACAACCTTAGATCAGGGAATCAACATAAGGAATTGATTTGGGTGGAGATAAGGAATTCTAAGTGAAAGAAGTAATTAATGGGAGTGGTCTAAAAGGGCCCAGTGGGACAAAGCATCCAAGAAGAAATATTAAGGGCTTATATGATAAAGGGATGGCAATAATCATAGATAACTCTAATCCAAGTATAAATTGAGAAAAATCAGATTGGCAGATGTAGTTTGGAATGCTTTTCTTGATAGCTTCTTAGAGCAGTAAGTTCTGGAAAAAGCCAGAAGGCAGATTACATTAGACTTAGGATTGTGTAACGTGACATGATTAGTTACTGACCAGAGTGTAAAGACACCCCTTTGTAGCAGAGACCAGTGTGGTTGAATTTTACATCCAATCTGAAATGATGATCATTGGGTCTAAAACTAGCACTTTACACCTAAGTAAGGACAGCTTTATGCAGATGAAAGGTGAGCTAGTTGAAGTGGACTGGAATAGAAGTCTAGTGGACAGATCAATAGAGATGTAATGGAAGAGGTTTGAGGGGGATATTTCAGAGTACTCAGAAGAAACATATTCCTACAATAAAATTTTAAAAGGGAGGATCCACCATCTGTAGTTAACTAAAGCAGTTAGGGAAAATATTAAACACAAAAAGGAAAACAAAATAACTGTGTAAAGATGGGTGGTAGATCAGATGATTGGTCACAATATAAAGAATAGCATGAATAGTAGATTGATAAGGAAGAGGCAACAGTGTGGAGCTGGAGGAACACAGCAAGCCAGGCAGCATCGGGTCCTGACCCTTCATTTCTGAAGAACGGTCCCAACCCGAAAGGTCAACTTTCCTGCTCCTCCGATGCTGCCTGGCCTTCTATGTTTTTCCAGTTCCACACGGTGTTGTCTCCGACTCCAGCTTTGGCAGTTCTTACTATCTCTGTTAAGGAAGAGGAATTTGGGGTATGAGGAAGCTAGCTAGGAAAGTAAAAACTGATAGCAAGGCTTGCCATGAGTATTTAAAAAGCAAGAGTACATGAAATCAATGTTGGTCCTCTAGAGAGTAAGAATGGGGAGTTAATCACAGATAATAAGGAAGTGTATAATGAAATTAACAAATATTTTTGCTTCTGTCTTCATGAAGAAAGATACTTTAAAAATTCTAGTAATAACTGTAAATCAGGAGGTGAAATGAAGCGAGAAACTTAGTGAAATTACAACCAGAGAATTAGTCTTAAACAATTTGAAGAACCTGTGGCCTGACAAATCTTGTAGTCCAGATAAACTTTATCCTATTGTCTTAAAAAGAGGTGGTCAATGAACTAATAAGTACATTGATATTAATTTCCCAAAATTCCCTCAATTCAGGAAAGGTTCATTAAGACTGCAAAGCAAAATATAATCTCTCTATTAAGAATGAAGGCAGAAAATAAGAAACCAGTTAGCTTGATGTCTTTTGTGGCAAAGGTGTTAGAATTCAACATTAAAGAGATTATTGCTATGCACCTAGGTAAGTGAGAAGAATCAGCATGGTTTTGTAAAAGGGAATTCACATTTAACCAACATAGAAACGGGGGATGGGAAGGGGTTTCTGAAATAAATAGGGAAAGACGGGGAGGCGGATAGAGGAGAAGATAGGTGGAGACGAGACGAGACAAACAGGTCAAAGAGGTGGGGATGGAGCCAGTAAAGATGAGTGTAGGTGGGGAGATAGGGAGGGGATAGGTCAGTCCAGGGAGGACGGACAGGTCAAGAGGGCGGGATGAGGCTAGTAGGTAGGAGATGGGGATAGGTGGGAGGAAGGACAGGTTGGGCTGGTTTTGGGACGCGGTAGGGGGAGGGGAGATTTTGAAGCTTGTGATGTCCACATTGATAGCACTGGGCTGCAGGGTTCCCAAACGGAATATGAGGTGCTGTTGCTGCAACCTTCGGGTGGCATCGTTGTGGCACTGCAGGAGGCCCAGGATGGACGTGTCATCTGAGGAATGGGAGGGGGAGTTGAAATGGTTCGTGAGTGAGAGGTGCAGTTGTTTAGTGCGAACCGAGCGTAGGTGTTCGGCAAAGCGGTCCCCAAGCCTCCACTTGGTTTCCCCGATGTAGAGGAGGCCACATCTAGGACAGCGGATACAGTATACCACATTAGCAGATGTGCAGGTGAACATCTGCTTGATGTGGAAAGTCTTCTTGGGGCCTGGGATGGGGGTGAGGGTGAGGGGGGAGGTGTAGCACTTCCTGCGGTTGCAGGGAAAAGTGCCGGGTGTGGTGGGGCTGGAGGGGAGTGTGGAGTGGACAAGGGAGTCCCGGAGAGAGTGGTCCCTCCGGAAAGCAGATAAGGGTGGGGAGGGAAAAATGTCTTTGGTGGTGGGGTCGGATTGCAGATGGTAGAAGTGTTGGAGGATGATGCGTTGGATCCAGAGGTTGGTGGGGTGGTACGTGAGGACGAGGGGGATTCTGTTTTGGTTGTTATGGGGAGGGAAGGGGGGGGGTGGTGGAAGGGGGGCGGGAAGGAAAAGGTAAAAAAAAAGAGTTGCGGTCCTTGAAAAGCGAGGACGAGGGCATCTGAGATTTTCGGGAGTGGAATGCCTCATCCTGGGACCAGATGTGGCAGAGGCAAAGGAAGTGGGAATAGCGGATGGCATTTTTGCAGGAAGCTGTGTTCATCCAGCTCTACACCTTGTTATCGCAGATTCTCCAGCATCTGCAGTTCCTACTATGTTCCAAAATTCCCTCTGTTTCAGATTTCCGGCACAATAGGCACAGCGCTGACACTTTTTAATCCCAATTAACATTCATCCCAAACCCCACACTGTTTATCCCATTTACATTAATCCCAAACTCCACACTGCGGGCAAAGTGCTGACACTGCTTATCCCAATTAACATTAATCCCAAACTTCACACTATGGGCACAGTGCAGACCTGGTCCATCCGAACCGGTTTCGAGCAAAAACCCGAGCTCCTGCTGTAAATGCGCCCTCGCACTGATTCCAAACACAGGCCTGAAAAAGCAGCGAGGAGCCAGGGCGCTGCTTACCCGTTACCCGGGCCACCCAGACGGCCAGGAGACCGAGGACCAGCCGCTCCGACATTTCGGAATCCTCCGTCCTTTCTTCTAATATTCGAGGAGATTCTGAAATCGGAGGGAAAACTCCAGGAAGATCCTTCCCGTTAGAGTTTAACACGGTTTATTACTTTTTTTTCCCCTTCTCCTGGTATTGATCACTCAGCCTCCTTACGTCCCGGCCTGGCCGTTAAATTTCCGTTCAAATTCTCGCCCCCCACCGCGTGCCAGGGACTTCCCGCCACAGCACCAGGAGCGGCCCGCATGCGCATTTCCTTACGCCAGCTGGATGCACCAGGCACAGGTGTTTCACAGGGACCGGAGGATGGGGCTTTACTCACTTCTCACCCCATCCCACCTCCCTCATCTCCAGAAGCATCCCCCAGATCTTTTCCAACCAGCCTGTTCAGAGACATTACAACACACCTCTGAAGCAGGTGAGACGTGAACCGAAGCTTCCTCATTCTAGAGGCAGGGACGCTACCCTGACCACCTTATCATAGCGATCAACGAACCAGAAAAAGACCCTTTGTTCTACCGTGTGCGCGCAGGTCAAATACAAATCACTTAACTGTTCTAATCCCAATTGCCAGAATTTAGTTCAAGTGCACAGCTGAATATTTTTTTTTAAATGTTGAGTATTTGAGTCTGTACAACCCCCAAGCCTGCCCTTTATAGTTTTCTTTAATGAGTCTGTTCGGGCATGTAATGATTCAACTTCAACTTCAACTTGACTTGAACTCAGACCACCTGGGTCAGAGGTGTACACACAACCACTAAAGCACAGGGGTCTTAAGCCTGCGCTTTATGCCTTTAGCCTTAAATGAACACTGTGGGAGCAGAGAGCCACATTCATGCCCATTTTGTGGTGAAAGCATTTTCTAGTTTTCTCAAAAATATTTTTGGAAATCCATGTACGTCACAGCCAGCATTGCACACCTCATGGTCCCTCTGTTCATTCTTCAAGACTCAAAGCCATTAGCACTATTTACTGTTAACAAAGGCCTCCCACTTTTCCTTAATGTATATTCGTTCAAGATGCTGTGAATTTTGTTTCATCATGCTAAAAGCTTCAGCCGGGATAACTGAATGGCCTGCAGTTGCTGGATTTATCCTTGCACCCTTATTCAAAAAAAAGCATAGTTTTGTAATTTTCAGTAATCATCCATCACTATTGTCAAAAGAAAAGCAAGCAATTGATGATAAGCATCCAATATAATTCCTTCTGGAGTGTTAGAGGGGGAGTGGTTCTAAAGCTTCAGTTGCTCTACCAGAACAGGTTGGCACATGCAGAAGCAGGTTAGGATTAGAGCAAACCCTGTCACCATGAGGCAGCCACAAGATTAAATAATAAAGGATAGATGATTAGTTCATGGACATTAAGCTGCTAACAGGGTTAAACAGGTCATTAACTTCACAGTTTTTGAATACTGGAAAGCATAAACATCAGTGTCAAGGCTTCAAGTATTTATAACCGATTAAGTTACTTGTACATTACTCAATCGCTTCATACAAGCCCACTGATAATACACAACTAGGCAGGGGGAGGGGAGTGTATGTTTGAGTAAGAGGGTGAAAAGAAATAGGTTGAGAGTGGATATTAAGTGGACTTTTTTAAAATGTAGAACTTGAAAATTGGTGGCAATATTTCAACAGGTTGATGAAATACATTAATTGTAGGGGCTGTGATGATTCTACAGTTGTAGTAGTATATGCAGTTTGGTCTTCATTTTTAAAAAGACATGCTCCTAGCAGAGGCAATATCACAAAAAGTTCATGAGAAAGGTTCCTCTCATTCCAGGAACCTAAGTAAAATGAACAAGACAACCCAGGTAAAAGGGATCTTTAGAGTTATAAAGACAGCAAGATTCTGAAGGGTTGATAGGATAGGTAAAGTCACCATTAATCGCAGAGGACCACAGAGCTGCCCCCTCTCATTAGAGAGACAAAAAAATGAGTTTAACCAGAGGATTATCATGCCTCAGGGAAGCGATGAGGTTGAGAAGGTGGGACCTTCAGGGTGACTATAGCTAGTATAGGATTTGAAAGTACACTACTGGCACATCTCTGCATTGCAGATCATATATCCAGCTACCTGAGCCAACCACTAGACACAGGAGATTGGCATGAACTCAGGATAAAGGCACTGTTCTAGATTTTCCAAAGCCAGGGAAAGCAAATCATCTAGAACAGAAGCAGAGAAATTTCTTCACTCAAGATAAAGAATCTTTGGAATACTTTACCCCAGAAGATTGTGGATGCCCCATTGTTGCTGAAAGACAGATTTTTGTTGTTATAAATTGAGTCTGTTAAGCGGGCAGGAATGCATAGTTAGAGTAATGATCAACAATGATCATACTGAACATGCAGCAGGGTGGGAGGTCTCAAATCAGTTCCTGTTAAAATAAGTTCAGATCAACAAAGAAGGCAAGAACCACCACATGGCCTTGCCTGCCAACTTTAGCAACTCTCCAGATGGCCACAGAGAAGCCCCTTCCTTAAAGCTGGTTGACCAGCCCACGTCATAGAATCCCTACAGTGTAGAAACAGGCCCTTTGGCCCAACAAGTCCACACCGACCCTTAGAGCATCCCACCCAGATCCCGCAAAACCCACCTAATCTACGTATCCCTGAGCTCTACGGGCAATTTAGTACAGCCAATCCACCTAGCCTGCACATCTTTTTGCTGAGTGAGTTGCTGTTAATACAACCAATTACTTCTTTTGGTTGCTCACCTTTGTTCCCACTCTTGGGAAACTTACCTGGTGATATAGGAGACAGCAATGGTTTAGCGGTATTATCACTAGACTATTAACCCAGTGACCCAGGCAATGTTCTGGGGACCCCAGTTCAAATCCTGCCCTGGCAGATGGTAACATTTGAATTCACTAAAAATCTGGAATTCAAAGTCTAAATGATAACCATAGTCAGTTATTGGTGGGGGGGGGGAAATGTTTCAGTAACCTCTTTTAGGGAAATAAACGGCTGTTCTTTTCTGGCCTGGCCTCCATGTGACTCCAGACCTACATCAATATGTTTGGCTCTTATCTGCCATCTGGTCACTTAGGAACGCTGGCCAAGCTAGTAACATACAACTCAAAAAGAGCTCCAAAAAAAATGGAATGCTTCTCACAAGGCAGTCCTGGAACAGGGTGAGTGGGGCAGGTAGGGGAAAGCAAGGAAATCTTTGTCCCAATTGGCCATATTGTAACAGTAGAGAGATTAATTTTTAATTTTAATTCATTTGTGGGATGTGGGCATTGCTGGTTGTCCAACATTTGCCCAGCAACTAGGCATTGCTAGTTGCTCTTGAGAAGGTGGTAAGCTGCTTTCTTGAACCACTGCAATCCACCTGTCAATTGACCCAAAATGCCAGTGGGGAGTGAATACCAGGATTTTGACCCAGCCGTGAAGAAACAACAATCTATTTCCAAGTCAGGATGGTGAGTGGCTTGGAGAGGAACTTGAAGGTGGTGTTCCCACATATCTGCTGCCCTTGTCCTTCTAGATGATGGATGTGGTAATGGGTTTGGAAGGTGCTGTCTGAGGATCACTGGTGAATTTCTGCAATGCATCATGTAAATAGTACACACGTTGCGGGAGTGGCTGCAGTCGCCAATCACACAGGCTGCTTTAGGCTGGATGGTGGCAAGATTGAGTGTTGTTGGAGCTACACTCATACGGGCAAGTGGGGAGTACTTCATCACACTCCTGATTTGTGCCTTGTAGATAGTAGACAGACAAAATAAACAAGTTGCATTTTTCAAGTCCAGGTAAGTTTCTGGTCACTGATAACCCTGAGGGTAGTGGCAGTAGGGGGATTCAGTAATAGTAACACCATTGAATGCTAAAAAGATGGTAGTTAGATCATGTTTTATTATTTGTAATAACATTTTTTCCACCATCTTAAATACTTTTACATTTTGCTCAAGAAATTAAAAGGAAATGCAGAGCAAATTACACAACAAGTTTCAAATGGTTAAAAAAGACTTGCAAAGATGTTTTCTTTGAAATCTATTTTCAGGAGCATATAAAAAGTCATAGGTGATTTGTAAGGTGATTGATCTTGAATCACAAATCCTAAGTCAGATAAGACACACAGAAAAAGCAAAATACTTTGGCACTTAGCTTTTAATCATTTAATAAATTAAAGAATAACTTGTGCAAAAATAAATCTTAATTTTCTAGTAGCCATTTCCCCTCCCCCACCCCTGCAAAAAGGGAAATAAGCCCTACCAAACAAAGAATAACAATGGTTACAGTACAAGAGAGAAATGAAGTTATTCCAAATTGCAAAATTGACTTGATTTCACTTCTCCTAGTTCAGGTTTAGTACTGGCTATTTGAAAGTCTCCAAATTGCTGTTGTATTTGGTTCAGGATCACATACAAGATGACTAATGCATCTTTTATTGGTTGATTCTGGTGCAAAGAACTGAATCCAACATTCCATTTTCAAAGTTCATATTTAAGCACAGAAAATCTCATGTTCTCTGCTGAAGCAAAACAAGAATGTGTTGATTAAATATCTGTTGAATTGAAGTGATAGAACTCTGGTACAAGGCAATCCAAAAAAAAGATTAAATCTGGTAGTTTCCAGTGTTTGTTCTTTTTTTCTCCTTAGACATTTTCAAACAATTGAGTTAATTGACTGTTCAAAAGCACACAAAAAAAGTGCTCTAAACAAGTCTGTTCTTTCTTACATGTGAAAATAAGCTGAAGATGTGCACAACAGTCAAAAGATTACTTTATGCAGCATTCTTGGAACATGTGGATCCACAATAAAGATTTGGTCGAGTTCTTGGAGGTAAAACATGCATGGTCCTCATTTTTGCCTTTTTTCAGAAAAAGGCAGATATTTCAAACAAAAATAGCAATTCAAATAGTTGGCCATGTCTACATGCTTTGGAGAACACACCTTACAACTGTTAGCTTTAAAATGTTCTCCATTTCAGATGTCAGACTATTGTCATGACTGGTGAGTCAGTGGAGTGAAAGATGTTTTAAAGCGAATACCAGATTAATTCCAATGATTTAAGCAAAACAATACACTTTTGGAAGTGGATTGGGCCTCAGCTTTGGTGCTCAGTTACGAGTCTAATGGGTGAGATATTATGAATGCTTTCATCACATTCACAGAACTATGAATGTCTCCCCTCTCAAGTGATGGATCAATTAGATTTTTACATACTGTACAGATATCAATACTCAGTGGCTGAAATTTAAAGTAAAATCATTTAAGTTAATTCAGATTAGCTGTACTTTAGTAGATATTAATGCACACTCCTGCAAGGTTAGCATTCGCTTGTGATTGGAGTTAACTCAAGGAGTACAGTTTGTTAAATTCAAAATATAAAGCCAAGCTTGCATCAAGTACAAGCATTGGCCTTTTCTCATCGGCATCCAGGAACTGACTTTTGCAGTATAAATATTTACTTCACTGGTTTCAGAATGAAACGTTAAAATGGAGACTGTTCCCCACAAATGCTGAGCACCAAGATAGTACTGTGGCCCAAAAAAAGCTTCAGTTCAGTGGCTTTTTTTTTTAAAAAAGCCAGGACTACATTAGGTCAGAAATACTGCTGAGACCCCCAGGATGAAGAGCAGTTCAAATTGTTGACCTACAAGAAAATCAGAAGGTTAAAATAATTAGATATGGAAAAATGGCAATGTAACAATGGCCAGCTTTGCTGCTGTGATTAATATCTAGACTTCCAATTGACTGTAAAGAAACAATATCACTGTACAAAAATAAATTCAAATGCAGTAAAATGTTACAAAGTGTGCAATCACAGTCAACTTAGTACTACAGCAGGAAGATTCTCCAATCAAGAACTGCATTCTGCTTGGCATACACTGAAAATTTCTATATTTATGTATTTAAATATTTAAAAAAAAAAATTCAACTTAATTGATTAAAACAACCCAGACAGGTCACTTTTTTTGAACCAAAAAGAACAAGTTAGAAAAGACAGACAAAAGCAAGAGAAGTAACTGATGAATTAAATTGCATTTATTTCAATGCAAGGAGTCTTACAAGCAAAGCTAAATGAACTCAGGGCATTTTTGGGAACTTGTGATTAGGATGACAGCTATTACAGAAACTTGGCTAAGGGAAGGACAGGACTGGCAATTCAATGTTCTGGGTTTGAGATGCTATAGGAAGGATGGGCGGGGGGGGGGGGGGGGGGGGGAAGGGGGAGTGGCATTTTTCATTAAGGACAAAAAAAAGTGTTACTGCTGTAACTGGAGATATTTCTGAAAAAAAAAGTCATCCAGTGAAAATATATGGGTTAAAATTAGATACAAGGAATGATCACTTGAGATTGTACTATAAAATTCTGACCCCCCACCCAGTAAAGAATTTATAATGTGTTCAAGAACATTTTCTTTATCAATGTAAACACCCCTACCAGGAGGAGGAAAAAAAACAAAACCACGACCTTCCCTTGGATAATAAGACAGGGCAAGTGACTGAAGGGATAGTAGGAGAACACTGGGTCTAGTGATCATAATTCTATTTGTTTTAAAATAAGATATTCATGGGAAGGATAAACTTCCATAAAGAATTAAAAAATTTAACTTGAAGGCAAGTTTTAATAGTACAAGACAAGAAAAGAACTTTCACAAGTTGGTTATTGAAGTAGACTGTTCACAGGTAAAAGGGATGTCTGATAAGTAGGCAGTTTTCAAAAAAAAAAGTGTGAAAACAAGAGTCCAGTCATTATGTTCTGTTATAAAAGAAAGACAAGGCTGTTAGGATTAGAGAACAATGGAGGAATAAAGATGGAGGTTCTGTCAAGAAAAGAAAACAAATCATTAGATGTAAACAATTAGGTTCAAATAAATCGAACAGTATACAGTGTGTATGGGCATTCTTAACAGGGAGATCAGGAAGGCAAAGAGGATAGGAGATAACTATTTGATTAATAGGCTAAGGATAATCCAAATCCATTCTACAAGTACATTATGATCTTAAGGGGCTCTGTTTTCTCTAGTTATTCTCCTGCTCATAGAGGTCATTTTTGTGTTGGATCTCAGGAGATGGAGAGATATTAAAATGAATATTTTGCATCAGTTTTCACTGTGGAGAAAGAAAAGAGGCTACAGGGAAATAAATAAATACTGATGTTTTGAAAACCATTCACATTACAGAAGAGGAAGTGCTGGAGATCTTAACATAAAAAAGGACCTGATCTAGTGTATCCCAAGACTTTAAAGAAATTGCAGAAATAGTTGTATCATCTATAACAATGGGTGAGCTGTTGAACAACTGGAGAGTAGATGAGAATATAAAAGATAAGTCTGTGGATGACATGAAAATTGGTGGTATATAGTGGGCGTTGAAGGTGGTTATCCAAGATTACAAAGAATCTTTAATCAATTGGGTCAATAGGTTGAGGAAGGGCAGATAGAGTTTAAAATTTGGAAACCGTTATTGCACCTTTTGGTAAAACAAACAAGGACAGGACTTGTACAATTAAAAAAGTAGGGTCTTGGGTAGTATTGTAGAACAGAAACCTAGTGGTTCAGGTACATAATTTTGAAATTTGCATCACAGATAGGGTGGTTAAGGCAGTGTTTAACACCTTCATTGCTCAGTCTTTTGGAGTATAGGATTGGGGGCATTAGATTGAGTTTGTACAGGACATTGGTGAGGCCTCTTAGAAATGTGTCCAGTTCTGGTTGCCCAGTTATAGGAAGGATATTAAGCTGGAGAGGGTTCAGAAGAAGAGATTTACTAGGAATGGAGGATTTCAGTTATAAAGGAGAGGCTGGAAGTTCTTTCACTGAAGCATGGAGGTTGAAAGGTGACCTCAGGAGGTTTACAAAATCATGAAGGGCATAGACAAGGTGATTAGCAGGTGTCTTTTCCCCAAAAGTGGGGGATTTCAAGACTAGGGAACAAACTTAAAAAAGGGGAGGAGAAAATTTAAAGAAAAAAAGACTGATGGGTATTTTCCACCCCGCATTCAGTGGTTCACATTGGACTGAACTTTGAGGAAGTGGTGGATGCAGGTACAGTTACAACATTTAAGACGTTTTAGATAATTACACCAATAAAAATATTTGAGATATATGGGCCAAGTGCAGGCACGTGGCATCAGTTTAGTTTGGGATTATGGTCGGCATGGACTGGTTGGACAGAAGGGTCTGTTACATGCTGTATGACTAACTACATTAAAATACATCTGGCATATAAATGGAGCAGAGACTTTATAGTACAAGTAGGAACTTTGTAGACTACAAAAAAAAATTACATAAACTGCCAATACTTAATTTGTGATTCTCACCCAAGTTTATATTGGATTTCAATATTTAGAATAATTTCTATTTTCCATCTTGTAATCAAAATGTCAGTATGAACACTATCCAAATATTTGAAAATATTAATAAAGATCACAACTAGCCAGTTCTCCATACTCACCAATATGTCCTTCACATCCACCTGTTGAGAGATTATGCAATTAGAAAAAGGTGTACATAATAGGCAAATCACATGTTATCCAGCATTGGACACTTAATTCCTCAAGCATGTCAACTACATGGTCATAAGACAAGAGCCACAGTAAAATGCTTATAGATAGCCAGTGGTCAGTTACATTTTGCACAAAAAACCCTACAAAAGGAAATAACCCACGTTTTTTCAAGTCTTCACTTGTGATTTGTGTTATTTCAAAAGGGATGAATATTCTTTTACATAATTACCATATTCTGCAGTTTGCAAAATTACTCAGACACCAATTTAGAAACTGACAATTTGAGCCAAAACATGCTCAAGTGTACAAACAGAGTTGGAGGTGTCTGCTCCCAACCAGGAAACAAAATTTACATTAGAACACTGCTCCATCCATCAGCGAAACTGAATGTGCTTCGCATCCAAATTACAACTAGAGTATGTGGAAACTGCTGCCAGCCTGTGTAAGCAAGAAAGCCATTTTGCATGCAGGAAATGTCCCTGAAATACTAAATCAAGATCTTTATGACAATCTTCCAAAAGGGATTTCAGACTCAACCCCTCGAAAGAAGAGTAATTTTTTTTTTGTCTGATTTGTGGCAGTCTTATTCTGGCATGGAGGCCTCATCCCAGCATGGAGGGATTCTGGACTTTTGAATTCCAAATATGCCAGCAGCCTGGCATGGTAGTCTTTTTTGGCAGTAGCTTCCAACCAGATTTCCAGTGGCCTGGTATGGCAGTCTCATCCTTGCTGCATCTTTAGGATGCACCAGTGTTCTTTAAATCAGCTTCCAAGGTTAGGAGTCATTTTCTGACTTGTGATAAATTGCCAGAAAATTTTACATTTTACTTATTATGTACAGCTTGTGTTGGAGCAACTTAAAATTATGATTTTTCAAATTAAAAAGTACACAAATCTTTATTCTAAAATCTGCTAGCCCTTATCCAAAAAGGAAACAAAAAACCTCTCATTCTAGATTTCCTCTCACAAGGCAATGTCCTTTCTATGTCTACTTTGTCAAAGTTGTTTTGCATCATATACACCTCAATTAGATGATATCCTCATTCTAACTCAAGAGATTTTATAGTAGGTTAATTTTCTTCCTGTTTGTCCAAGGATACCACAAGAGTACACCAACATCAACTGGCAACAAAAAGATACGACCAATTCTCACTCATCTCCACCCACATGGAGAAGAAAAACCACCAATTCAGTTGTGACAAAACCAGGATCCTGGGACAGGCAGAGCAGAGACAAGCAAGCATGGGAATTCCTAGAAGCCTGGTTCTCCACTAGAGAAAGCCATCAATAAACACAGCTAGACCCTATATATACACTCCATTGCAAAGGAAAACTGGAAGGGAGGTAATTCAGCTCAACCAGAGGTCAAATGACAGATGGGAAAACACAAACAGCGTTTCATCGGAGGCTGCGTTGATGATATTACCCAGTAGGGTAATGAAATGTCTGCAGAACAACGAACCAGCTCAGTGAACCAGCCAACCACAACTAGAGACAAGCCCAAACTGCTCAATCTCTCTTCAGGAAAAACCCTCATCTCTGGAGAGAATCCAGAGAGTCTCCCGAGTTGCGACTAAGAAGCAATACTCCAAGTGTGTTCTCATTAATGCCTTGTACAGTTGCAATACTTGTACTTTAGTATACCATTCCTTTGACAATACATCAAAAATTCCATTTGCTTTCCTCATCTTGTTGTATCTGCATATTAGTTTTGTGATTCATACACAAGGACACCCAGATGTCTCTGCACTGAAGCACCATGAAGTTTCACTACAGTTGTCTTTCTATTCTGACCACAAATAAATAACCTCACTTATCCTTGTTAAAAAACTTCATCTGCCAAATTTTGGCCCATTCACCTAATCTAATCATATCCAATCATAGTTAAGAAATCAATCTACTTTGCTATCTTGTTGTAATTGATCTTCACAACAAGCATCAATTTCATCTCTATCTCCTTATTCACATACAATGTTTAAGACTTTAAAACATACCTACACAGATTCTTATTAGATTTCCTGGTTTAGTTATACGCTTTGCAATAAAAAAAAAATCCTAAAATCCTTCCAATTCTTGGCCTCTTAACAAGAGGTGCCTTAACCCAATGAGATTTTAAATTCTCATTAGCCACAGATGTCACTTTTCAGGTGTTCATTCATTTTAGGAATGTATTGGTGATAAATTATGAATGAATTCTTTAGAAGTGGTCAACACTTCTAATGTTTAATACACAAGGTTTCTTAAAATCTGAACAAAACAAAGCAATCAAATCTCATTCACTCACTTTGAAAAACTAATTTGCTACATTTAGTTCAACTATTTAACAGCATTCCTTATCAATTGCAATTTGCCTTCTGTGGTCCACAGCAATTCCTGCTCCTGTCAGTCACTAGAGATACTCACTTGTGAAGTTAGAAGTTAACAGTTTGCCATTTGCTAAATTGCACAATTTCACTTAAAAAAAAAGAAGAGTTAAAGATAAGGGAACAGAGGTTTCTAAAAATATCTAAACATTCTGGATGATATCACGTTGTTATTCCAGTAGCAAAATGAATAAAAGTGTTTACCAGATATAACAAGGTGTAGAGCTGGATGAACACAGCAGGAAGGCGGACGTCTCGGGCCTGGACCCTTCTTCACAAATAAGGGTCCAGGCCCGAAACGTCAGCCTTCCTGCTCCTCTGATGCTGCTTGGCCTGCTGTGTTCATCCAGCTCTACACCTTGTTATCTCAGATTCTCCAGCATCTGCAGTCCCTACTATCTGAAAAATGTTTAGTTCATTTTCTGCCTTCGATAGTAAAAAGACAACCTCATTACATCTAGAGTAATTTTGCATTGTACATGACATAAGTTATGGTAGTCTCCCTTATTTCATAAAATTGGTGTAAATGTTTAACAGCATGTGAAGAATCTGAGGAGGTAGTAAATACTTACCAGAAGGAGTAGTAGGAGTAGGAACTGAACTGGGAGCTAATGGGAGAGAGAAAAAAATTCAGTTGACTCAACCAAATCAAACAAGTGCTTAAAAATAATGATCCACGTGTAATTAAGTGTATCTTACATATTCCATTAGTTCAAAATAATGTAGGTATCAACAGTAATAGAACACAACTGGAAGGCAACTAAAAATTCACAAACAGGGGATCATGTGCACAAATAAACCAAGATAGAATAAGGCTAAGATTTTAAAAACTATATTTGCAGATGACCATTAAATACAGAAGTTGTGGAGAAGTCTGTTTTCAAAAAAAAAAAAAGGTGGAACATGGCAATTGTTTTCAATGTTTCATGTTCATAAAAAGCATTTTATGCATGCTATGTCCTATTCAAGGTTGACAACTTTTGAAAAAGTGAACTGGCAATTTTTGTTTTAAACTTATCCCTTAACTGGTGTCTGTGGAGTGTGGGAGCTAGAATCAAAGATTGAATTTAAATTCAGTGATTTAAAAACTTTGCTTTAAAAGCTACTGTCTTATTAAATAAAAGACTTAAATTTAGGCTACAAACTTGGTATGAGAGAGTTATTTACAAAATCTGCTATTGGTTATTTTTAGGAACCATTGAGATAAAATGGAGGGCAGTTAAAATGTTTGAATTTTATTGTGTTGAGAATACAGGAATAGGGAGGCTGATAGGATTTGACTGTCTGGCATAGCAGTTAATTTTGAATCTAAATATGGGTCACTGTTGCAGTACTCCACACATGCCTCACTTTGCATGCAAGTTAAATAAAGGTTTTGACCTTTTATCACTGGCAAACAGAGAAATAGCATAGCTCCATTAATCACTATAAAAGTAAGCTTAAAAAAGTGGTGGATTCCAGAATGGAATGTTGGCCTGAAGATACTATGTGACTAAATATTCCATACATTATGGAAATCTTAACTGACCACTTAGAAAATCACAAGGAGCTAGCACCCAAGGGCTGCAGGTAGAGAAGGCAAACAGAATGTTTGAAATAAAAACTAAAGACAACAAAATATAAAATTAAGGAGGTCTTGCTAAAACTATAAGAGGAGCTAGTTAGTTAAACTACACTTTGATTACCATGAACAGTTTGTCCCTTTATCCAAGAAAAGATGTATAGGCATTGGAAGCAATCCAGAGAAGGCAGATTCCCTGCTACGAAAGGATTTTCTTATGAAGAGACATCAAAATATAGTTTGGACCTGTACTCATTGGAGTTTACAAAAATAGAGGTGACCTTATTCAGAGTTTTCTTAGAGGGCTTGACAGAGATAAGAAGAGGTGGTTTCCTTTCAAGGAAGAGTACATCATGGACCAGACAGCATGATCTCAGGAAGTGGTTTCATATTTAAGAAAGGTGAGGAAATTCAAGGGTAGTGAATCTAGCATTCTTTACCAGAAAGGTTGTCAAGGCTGGGTCATTAAGAAAATTTGACGCTAAGATAGACAATAAAAAGGAATCAAAGGGTACGGAGAAAAGGCAGGAAAGGGGAGTTAGGGGGAAATCAAGTGAGGTATGATCTCAGACTAGTCTTTCACGGTCTTGAGCTGCTCATCCTTAAGGAAAGGAATCAGGAACCATCTTCAACTACCCAATCAGGTCAGTATAACCACTTTTGTTCAGTTATAGCCAACATGCACAAAGCATCAGAAGTGTGCAGTTTGAGGAAAATCCAAGATAGATTATGGTGAAAAAGAACACAGCAAGAGATAGATCAGCACAAGAGCCAGTATTCTAAAGTGACTGAATGAGTACTTCCACTGCCTTAGGTAAACATTCCACATTGCAGCCTGTTAACTCAAATTAGGCCGCCTGTGGCAACTGACTTGTACCCAATGTGGTCTGCAGTTAGTCTGAACCAAGGGTCTAGAATGACTAATTTTAATGGAGTAGTGGGTATCCCAAGTGTCAGAAAAACTAAAGTAGACAGTGATTTTGTTTATCTGGTGAAAGGCTTCTCACAACTAGAGTAGTTCTTGCTTGCCTGCTATTTGAGTAGCAGTAAACATGAAGATTTTGCTTACAATATTATGTTCCCTGCCTTTCACCCAAGTCAAAATTGGAAGGTTCCCCAAACTGACCTGTCCAACTCAAATCAATTTCTGTTATAAATTAAGTGGTCCACTTGGCACTGTTTTTAAACCCCTCATATGGAAGACATTGGTTTATGAATTGAATTAGTGTGGAACTAAGGAGTCACAGGTATTATTAGAATTGCCAATTCCTCAACTGGATACAGAGGGATTTGTACTCTTCCAAGAATTCTCTGGCCTGCGGACAGCCACCTCAAGAACAGTGAAGCATTCCAGTTCCTCTTCTCATTTTTACATGATTAAGAAAAAAAACAAACACTCAAATGCAACATCAGTGCAGAATCTTTTGCAAGGTATGCATGCATATTTATGGTGGCTAGTAATTACTGCTCTGGTCTTCCTGATGATCAGCTGAAGAAATATCTCATCCACCAATTAATGTTTGAAAACAGTTTAATAAACCTAGTTGGCGGGGGAGGGGAGGGTACTGTTTTGCACTGGATTCAAAGTGTGAATTTGACTGTCGCTTGTATTTAATTGAAAGTAAATTTTGAAAGAGTTTTGACAATTTCAGTTCTTTTAAGAAAAAAAAAGGTGAGAAGAGGCAGTCCCACTAGTCATTCTTTGGAGTGTAACAATAAAGATTCACCCAAATACCTATTCATTCTGGAACAGAAGACTGGGGGATAGAATCACACTCCCTTATACAGTTCAGTGCAGCACGGAGGAAATACTAGAGATTTTTGGTGCTGCTTCTGAAGTACAGCTGAATGTGCCTCCATACAAAACATCCCCATGTCACAACTTGCAGGCTTCCTGTAAGTCAGTGCTCAGTTAGGTCAAATACAGAATGTAATGGCTACTCAGAAGGAAATTGCCAAATAATGTAAATTCCAATCAAAAAAACTGGTCTACAAGAGGAAAAGATAGCAAACCAAAACATGCTGGCAGCAGTCCAGTGCTGAGCACAACAGCAGCCAACCGTCCCCTGCTGCAGAGACACAGGTTTGTCTTTTAACTTTACTTCTTGTTTTTGTCCTATGGTTATACTGTATAGAGCTGTAATGGGACTTTTTTCTTCATTTCTATTATGCAATGAAGGATTGTACTTAGGTGCTCTGTACCCAAGACTGCCACCAACACACTGCACATTGTCACACTAATCTGTAACTGAAGATGTACATGGGTACCTTTGTACCCAAGATGGCACTGTAAGTGGCAACTTTAACTAACTCACTTGACAAAAAGTTTATGACAATAAAACTAATTCAATCCAAACATGAAAGTATGATCAATATTTGAACCATGGTGGTGTTCTTCATTTGACACCAAGTTTAGACAAAACACATGAAAGAGATTAATATTAAATCAATTGGAGTAAACTTCCAACTTATTTGTTTCATTCTCAAGCTCAAGAAAGGTTTACTCATAATTTACAGGTAGGTGGCAGTGGTACAAATGTGTTATTTTCACGACATTCAATGACACTTCTGCCAAACATTTTAAAAGCTTTGTTGCATCCATAAGTGATAGTGTCAAGATACGTGTACGTTTTCTTAAAGCCTGCCACCATTTTTCCATTTGCAGGCACTTTAGGACGATTACATCGCACAACTGTCGAATCAAAAGAGCAAAGTGAGTTTGAGGATCTTCTGTATCTATGATGTTAAAACGTGTTTTTTTTGTGGAGGGTGGGAAAGAAAGA